TTTTTAGTCTAACTCTTTACTTGCATATATTTTTAAAATTATTTTTTATATGTCAATAAAAAAGAAAAAAACATTAAAAAATCTAGAAGAATTTCATATTAATACAGACTGGGGAAAAGTGTACTTAGAAAGGGACAATGGGAACAGCAAAGAAAAATGAAAGCTTTAAATGTAAATAACAAAATTTATTTATCATATATTTTATGTATATTTATCATACATGTAAATGTATATATATATAAATATATAAATATTTGTATTCATATTTATACATGTATGTTTGGGTCATACTCAGTGGTGCTCGAGGCTTACTCCAGGCTCTCTGCTCAGGGATCACTCCTGGTGGGGCTTGCGGGATTACCTGGGGTGCCAGGGATTGACCCCAGGGAGGCCACATGCAAGGCAAGTGCCTTACCCTCTGTAGTATCTCTCCAGTCCTGATGAAATCAGTATTTTAAAGGAAATTAAACTACATTAAAATTTGGAGAAAAATATACTGTTAATGGCCTTGTAAGTTCAGTGAGTTTTGATGTGTTCAAAGTTAAAAATTCTTTCTATTTATTGAGTATCTTTCTTATCTCAGGCCTTGCGATTGATATTGTCACTTTTGTGCTTGCTATAAGCCCCCAACCATTCTGTGGCTGTGATGATGCATCTGTAGAAGTCTAACATAAGGAATGTAGTGGCACACAGAAAATGGTGCTTTTCCTTGGCCTTGACTGTTTCTGTTGATCTTAGAGAATGTACAGTATCCAAAATATGATGGTGCATTTATCAGGAAAGAGCAGTGTCACCATCAGCCGCTGGAGCCAAGCGTGGAGCGTTTTTGGAGGAGGCAGTTCAGAGGCATTTGTGAGATGAGCCAGTGGAATCTGGACTTGCAGTGCTGGCTCCACAGATAGACACATACAACCATCCTGTTCATTGAGAATGATGAAATCACCAGAGCACCTAAAGCAGCTGACTCAGCTATGAAGAAGCTGTGAGGGGATGGTTTGGTCAAAGGGCAGGGGTGTCCTAGTGTGTTCTTAGAGTCTTGCAAGAAATGCGGAAAGAATGAAGTTGGGGGAAGGCAGGTTTCCCCTCCTCTAACTGCTCTACTGCATATCCCTTCTCTTCCTGTAGGGTAAAATAGGCTTGGTTTCTTTCTTTATATTTTTAAAATATAGTTTAAGTTCTGTATGAAAACGACAATGTAGTTCTATTTTGCCAAGACTAGAGTCTTCAAGGGTAACTGAATGATTGCATCATCTTACTGAATAATTTGAGCATCTGGGAGGTTTAGTTAGTAATAGTGTGTGCTTTTGCATGTATTTATATATTAGATAAACAGTATTAACTCTGCTTGCTTACTTTTGCCTGCCGGCCTACCTTCTTTCTTATTCCTTTCCCTTCCTTCCTTCCTTCCTTCCTTCCTTCCTTCCTTCCTTCCTTCTTTCTCTCTTTCTCTCTTTCTCTCTTTCTTCCCTCCCCTGTGATAGGGATCACTCCTGGTGGTACTCTAAAGACCAAATCTGGGTTGGCCTCCTGCAAGGCAGTCACTTTACCTTGCAAATAGATTTTATATTTACTAATGATGGTGTCTGCAAGTCTTGTTTAAAATGTACCTCTTTTGGGGGTGGAGCAGATAGCACAGCGGGGAGGGCGTTTGCTTTGCATGAGGCTGACCCGGGTTCCATTCCCAGCATCCCATATGGTTCCTTGAGCACCGCCAGGAGTAATTCCTGAATTCAGAGCCAGGACTAACCCCTGAGCATTGCCGGGTGTGACCAATAAGAAAAGAAAAAAAAAATCAAATAGAATGTACCTCTTTCTCCGAAAGGAATTTGTGCGGGATCGGAGAGATAGTTCAGAATGTCGGGTATTTGCCTTGCACTTTTGCCGGCCCCGTTTCCATCCTCCACACCCTGAATGGTCCCACCAGGAGTAATCTCTGAGCCTCTGAGCGTAGACCCAGAAGTGAGCCTAAGATCGGAGAAGGGGGGGAGGAAGAAGTACTTCTGCAAATTATAACAACCTGAATGTTTTGTTTTATTGAAAATAATTCTATCTTGTTGACCCAGACACTTGGAAGTTTTTGAGGCTACACCTGACAGGCCAGAGAGCAACAGCAAACTTTTTTTTGCGCTAGGAAACTTGGAATTTTCAGCCGGGACCCCAAATTTCAATCATATTTCTCCAGCCCGATGGATATTGTTCAAGGGTTCTGAAGTCTTCTCTTGGAGTCCCTGCCTCTCGCACACGCCCCCCTACCCTTTTGGAACGCACCTGCAGCCTCCAGCAAGAACAGGACGGGACTTTGGCCAAGTCACACTTGGCAGGAGTACTCATCAGTTGCCCTTTCATCTCCTTTCTGATAATCATTTCCGCAGAATCGGGGCACTTACAGCGGAATGTAATCTCACAATCTGAGCATTTGGGGTGAGTAGCCGGCCCAGCAATTGATCGCTGCGGAAGCGGACCGGGACGGCTCTCCCCGGGACCCAGACCGGCTTCGGAGTTTCCAGACCGGCTTCGGAGACCCGAGGAGGACGCACTCGGCCAGCACCCCCCGCCAGGTGCGCTTCCGCGGGGCCGTGGCTCCCCTCCGAGCGCCCCGCGCCGGCGGGGTCTGGGCGCCCGAGCTCAGCGCGCGCGGCCGCGGCCCCTTTAAGGCGCGGCTCTGCGGTAACCCGAGCCCGCGGCCGAGCCTCAGCCCCGCGCCGGCTGCTCCGGCCCCGCCGCGGCCCCGGCTCCCGCTGCGCCCGACCTGCGCCGCCGGGACCCGCACAGGTGACGCCGTCCGGACCGGGCTGGGGGTGCGGGCGGGCGGCGGGGCCGCAGGTGCGCGCGCGCCAGCAGCATCCTCCGGGGCCCGCGGGAGGCCCACCCGGCGGCGTGACGCCCCGGGCTCGCGGGGACCGGCCCGCACGCCGCCCGCCGCAGCCGGGGAGGCCCCCGCGCCGCGGGACCCAACAAGTCGCTGCCCTCTCCCCCGGTGCCTCCCCGGGGCGCCCCGCTCGCGGCCACCAGCGCCGGAGTCTGCTGGGGAAGGAGGGACCCGGCGCAGAGTCGCCGGAAAATCGGTTCCAGCTCCACCCTCCAAGGTTCACCCGGGCAAGTTATTCAACCCAGTGCCTCGGTTTACCGGGCAGCGAAATGGGACCCGGGCATTCCGGCAAGCAGGCTGGCCGGGACACCCACCCGCTTACTAGAGTGCTTTTGAGTTGTCTGAAGTTCGTTCAACGGTGACTGCAGGGGCTGTCTGGGTCCTGCACTTCTGGGTGTGGATGCGCCGCACCTTTTCATGGGGAATTATACTAAAAATTGTTCGTAAAGAGTCATCCGCGACACTGCTTACGTGAACCTGGTACTAGGTTGGGGACCAGCTGGACGAGTTAATGTGCCTATTAGGAGTTGATGTGTGAAACAGGAGAAAAAGGCTATTTAAGTCAAATCTTTAGGAAGCCCTACATGGAGATGGGAAAATGGATCGTGGACTGTGGGAGTTTATTTACTGAATTGCTCCCAGGGCTGAGAGAGGCAGTGGGGGACACGGCGGGGTGTCACAGCCAGCAGTGTTGGGGGTTCACTCGGGTTAGTACATGGGGGTTATTTAGTGCTCGGGAATTAAACCTAGAGCTCACCCATGGCGCTGCCCCTTCCAGCCATTTCCCTAGGGAGTTTTATGGTTTATTTTTAAAGGAGATACTATAGTGTGAGCTCAGGGTATAGATGGGAATGTAATTTTATCTTTGTGTAGTCCACCGAGGTCACATCTTATCTGAGTTTCCATTTTAGTGTGTTGTATATGCAGCCTGGCAGCTCTTTACCTTCTAATTTGTGTGGTGCCAAATTAAAAAAGTGTGCTCCTGCCACTTTGGAAAATTGGAGAGAAAAACTTACTTTAGCTTATTTGCCACTTCCATTCTTCTGTAGCATCAGATGATCCAGAGGCTACCCGCTATCTTTTGAGGGTGCTTCCCTGCCTTCACCCCTGGCCCTGCAACTCCTTTTGCTCCATTACCACCCAGCTTGAATCCTCACTGTGAACTTGCTTGAGTTTTACCTATCTAGAGCCGCCCACACTGCTGCTCAGTCAGTTGGTGACTTGTTTATTTGGGGGTCACATCTAGCAGTAGTCAGGGTTTCTTTCTGACTCTGTGCTCAGGAATCATACCTGGCCCTGTGCAGGGGATCCTTTGAGGTGCCGGGATTTGAACCTGGGTCACAGCCAGTGCAGCTCCATGCCAGTCAAGAGCCTTACCTTCTTCCCTATCTTTCCCAACTGTGGGTTATGATTATGCTGATGACTTTTCTGTTCCTGTTCCTTTCACTCAGCCGTCTTTACCCAGTTGGAAGGAGGAATGGTTCTTTGTAACTAGGTCGTGCTCTTGGAGGTGCCTTCAAGGGATCCAGGGGCTGAGATTCCAGAAGTCTGTGGAGATGTTGGGCCTTCTGATTAGACCCTGAAATCCTCAAAGCAAAAGTTGGCCTGCATGGTACTTCTTGAAATCTCCATTTCAAGGTGGCAGATACCCTTGATCACCCTGATAAATATCAGTCTTGTGGTCAGGGAATTATCTGACGTCAAAGGCAGTTGGAGAGACTGGAGCTTTTCTGACTAAAGTGTAGGGAGATGGAAGTGCTTAGGGGATGATGGAGGGCCTCCAAACTAGATCACCTGAGCAGTTGCTCTAGAAGCACTGGGTTTCTTGCAGGCTTGGGGAGTGGCTGGGTTATAGAAAGTCACTGTGAGGCATGTGTCCTGGCTACAAAGTGCTTGTCTCTATCTTACCCTTGTTCTCAGAGCATGGTCGGGGAGTCACATTATTCTCAGGCCTGTCTGCCCTCCTTTTGGTGCCTTGAAGGAGGTCTGACATCTCTGCTCCTCTCCCAGGGCTGTCCTGTGTGAGAGGAAAGGAGCCGGTGTGTGATGAGAGACTCAGCCCCATGTTGTCTCCTGCTCATTCTCAGATGGATGCTCTCTCTCTTATAAATTAGTGTCTGTGTCTCCTGGAAGGTTGAAAAGTGGGAGCACTTGGAGGGAGAGCAGGAAGATACAGAACACAAGTTTCTGCAGAGAGGAAGAGAATAAATTGCTTGTCTGGTGAGAATTGGGTGCCTGGGAGGGAGGGCAGAGCCGGGGTGCTGGATGAGCCGTGTGTCCATGCAGTCACCTCGTGGACCTTGTGAGAGGAAGAAGGTAGCACTGTGGAGGTGGAGGTGCCACCTGGAGAGGAGGGGAGACAGACTTGTGGGAATCAGAAGTGTGAGAGTCTTCACCTGGCACTGGTGCCATCCTTTGGGCATGCTACAACAGCAAAGTGAGGTCAGCTTTGTAAGACAGTCTGAGGTATTTCTAGCATGACTTTGGTGGCATGTTTTCTTACTGGAGATGAAAGGAAGCTTAACAAAAAGATGGAGTCCTACTGCTCTGAGGTCTTATTCACAGACAGTTGGAAGTGCTGGGCACAGATCTCAGACCTGAAAAGAAGGCAGAAATAGCAAAGGCTTTGCCTTTTAAAAAATTTTTGGGACTCTCAGAATTGAGACATCTGTAGTCAGAGAAGGCAATTTTTCGACTATGTGAGGAGTTTGTGAATTATGGGAAAAGGCCAAAGTTTGTGAAAAGAGCTGATTTAAAAAAAGCCAGTTGAAGATCTGTCCAGAACTTGAACCAGTCTAGGAAAAGAGAGACTGGGCATCAGAGTCAGTGAACAAGGGCAGGGGTACAATCTGACTTGGGGGGCAGAGTTTCAGAAGAGTTTCAAATATTTCTGCACTACTTCACAGTATGAAATGCACTTTGCAGTGAGACTCAGGCTGTAAATGAGTATATGTGTGGCTGAAGCAAGTTTCATGAAATAATACATATCCTTACTGTATGCATTGCAGCCTGTGTTTTTCTTCTACTCTATGTTACTGGGCCCGCTCGAGCAAATCGACGATCAACGGGAGGGCCTTTACCTTTACCTTTACCTTTACCTATCTTCTGCAAAGCCCCTTGTTAACCAGTGTACCATAGTCCAATATCTGGAAACTGTCTGATAGGTGGAGAACAGCATGGCACAGAGAAGGCAGGGCACAGGGGTGGGAAAAAGCTCGAGTCACAGGGTGATGTGTGGCCCTGATTGTGGCATGGAGTTTGATGGGAGTGTGGGGCCTCATCTTCTGTCTGAGGCCTGCCGGACTGACAGTAGTCAAAGGCAGCTGCAAAAGGTGGCTTTCCTCATAGTTCTCTCCACTTCAAAGCAGGACAGTTGGTTCTGAGGGAGGAGCAGGAGCATGAAGGAATAAACTTGGAGCTGAAAGTGGTCTCTTGAGAGCTGTCCATTTTTCTCTGTAGGTTAAATAAGAAGACAAACGCATTCAGAACAGATTGGCCGAGGGATGTAGGCCAAATTCACTTTCATTTGCTTGATCAGGTTGCAAAGCCCCCCCCCCCCCCTCCCCGTGTAGGAGGCTCAGACCTCCCTTCCAGCTTTGGGAAGTTTGTACAGAGGGAGGAGATGGAATATGGTGCTTCAAAAGCCCATCTGATGGTCAGACTCATTAGGAACTTGGCAACTTGCCTCACAAAAAATTGGGAAAATATTCTCACTGCATTTTATAAAAGGGCTAGGTTCTCAAGACTGCCGTAGGAATCTATATCATGATCTCCAGTCAAACACGAATCATCCTGCATTGTCTTGGTGATTGCCAAAAAAGCTTCTTAGAGAAATTGGTGGTGTAGCAGTACCCAGCATCCTGGAGTTCATTTCAGTATCTGTCCTCGGCTTGATCAAGGACAGAGTCAATCTGTAACCCTTTGATTCCTCTTCATCAACATTGACATCTGGCTTCTGCATCTAACCTCCTCATCAGCAGACAGATAACAGCAAATCCTGGAGGAAACCATCTCCAGGTATCAGAGTTCCCCTGGGTTGCTGGGTTACTTCTGGCTTTTGTCATCCACATCCTGACCTAGTTGGCACCTCCTTTGGACCCATCCTTGCCTTGTCAGATTTTCTTTCCCTGGTTGATAGGTTTTCAATGTTTGACTTCACTGCTTCTCACTGATTTTCTGATACTTTTGGCCACAAGCTTCTCTGATATTTTCTCAGTGGGTCTGGACTTATGGTGCCCTTCTGACCTGACCTGTGGTATCAGTGCTGGGACCCCATTGGTCTCTGTTAGTGTCCGTATTTCCTCCTGTGGTCACCATAGAGATAACTGTACAGTGATGGGCTTAGGTACTAGTTTGGTTTCACTTTTAAACTAGGGGGATTGGCTAGACTATCTTAGTCAAGATAATTCATTTCCTTGCCTTTCCTTGCTCTCTCCTCCCCATCCCTCCCCTCCCCTCTCTCCCACTTTCCTCCTGCGCTTGTATCTAACCCTGACCTTCACATGTGCTCCAGCCTTATGTGCTCTTTCCCCAGCCCTTGTCAGGTAATCACCTTTCTCCAGATAAGCTTAAACTATAATAAAACAAAAAATTATTTAAAAAAATAAAGAAATAAAAAGGAATCCCCAATCTATCAAAAAGTACAGTTTGGAGTCAGAGAAAGCTCAACAGGACAAGTGCAGGCTTTGTATGCAGGGCCTAGATTAGGTCACTGGGGGCTACGTGGTCCCCTGAGCACAGTTGGGAATGATCCCTGAGCACTGAGCTGGGAGTAGCTTGTAATACAACTAGGCATGCTCCAAAAATATAACATACACAAAAAAGTACATTTTGAAGGCATAAAACTTACTCTCATTTAGTGTATATTAAAAAAAATTAATAGAAGTGAATCTCACCAATTTTATTTACCTCAAAGATTTTTGTTACATGTTTTTCATAATGAAAGAAGTTTCCAAAGCATAAATCATTGTTACAGCACTAATTTCTTTGAAAAGTTGTGTTAATTTTAGAAACCACTATCTCTTGCTACATGCCACAAAATATTTGCACAAATAATCATGTCTAGATCACTTTTTAACTTACATTGAAAAATTAACCCCAAATTGTCATGTATTTTTATTTTCTTGGTAAGGAAGAAAGAATTTTTATTTGATGAAAAATTTAGAATAAAAAGAAACCCTCACAGTGGTACACACACTGGAAACGATTTCCCCAAACTCCTCTTGCTTAATGAATATATGTTGCTTCAATACATGTAAAAATATTGCAACAATTACCAAGTTAATAAAAGCTTTGTAGTTTGTTACATGCTAGTTGAAGGAGTTACACAGACTACAGCTGTGTTCCTGTGTAAACCTGTATACTTTTACAGCCTATATGCATATCCCTAAACAGATAACTTCCTTATCTACTTTGAGGCAGAATCTGAGATAAAAGCTGAGGGAGGACAGCTTGCCCCAAAGCAGTTCCTAGGTGTGTCCTTCCATGGCCACCCAACCAAACTGAGCCAAACCCTTGTGTTCTGGGAAGTCACTGAACCAAACCCTTGTCTCACTCTCCTTCTCCTCTGTGCCTCCCCCTGCCTCCCCCTGTCTTTCTTTAGAGTGTGGATTCCCTTGACTTTTGGTCTTCCTTCCCCTTCTCTTTCTCTCCAGAGAAAAACCTACTGCATTTTCTTCAAAATTAGTGCCCTCCTTCCATAAAATTCCTCCTCCACCCCCACCTTTTTAGTCGAATCACTATGAAAAGAAGCTTTTACTTTCAAAGAAACAAATGCCTTCAAAGGCAAAAGACAAAGGTGTGAAACTGAGAATTTCTTATGGCCTCAAGTCCCTGTTTTAATTACAAAAGTGCAGTTTGCTTATTATAAAAAACATAGCTGACAATAAACCAGTACTAAAGAGATAGGAAGAAAATTTGTTTCCTTTCTTTCTACCTCCAGATGGTTCATTCCCAGCCTTCTTTACTCTTATTTGGAAGCAGGGTGGGGGTGTGGATGGGTTGTGGAGTGAAGTGGGACCTTTCAAACTCTTCTCAAGGGCAGTATAGCTGGGCCTACAGACCATCTGGTGGCGCTCAGCAGCGGGCATTTGGTGTTGGGTCCTGACTCCTCAATCTCGCACTATTTTCTGTACAAATGCCAAATGTGTCCAGTTGTTTATGAGTAGTTTATCATTTGCAACTATTTTTGCTCACTTCTGTTATGTAATAGACTTTTAAAAAAGTATTATTTTACTTTTTGAAATTTTATTGAAATATCTTTTTTTTAATTGACTCACTGTGAGATATAGTTACAAAGCTTTCATGTTTGAGTTTCAGTCATACAATGATCCAACACCCATCCCTCCACCAATGTACATTTTCCACTACCAATATCCCCAGTATCCCCCCCACACCCCTCCCTCTATGGCAAACAATTTCCCCCATACACTCTCTCTACTTTTGGGCATTATGGTTTGTAGTATAGATACTGAGAGGCTATCACATTTGGCCCTTTATCTAGTTTCAGCACACATCTCCCATCCAGAACTATCCCTCCAACCATCATTGACTTAGTGACTGGAATAGCTGCCTTCTCTCCGAGCTCATGAAGCAGGCTTCCAACTATGGGGCAATATTCCTGGCCCTGTCTCAACTGTCCTTGGGTATCAGTCTCATATTATGTTGAAATATCTGTTCTTTTACTGCTGTGTCAATCTATTAAACCCATTATTGGGTCTTAAGGTTATTTCTAATGATCCTTCACCAAATAGCCATATATATATATTTTTTTTCACATGTGCGTGAATGTTTGGTATTCTGCTTATTTTATTACCCATGTCACCTTGAATTGGTTCTATTTGATCATGATATTTGCATATCTAATGCATATTTATCATTCAATTTTCCCTACTTTGAGAATTCTTAGTATTTTTGACAGCATGTTATTGTTATTGATGAAATGAAAGCATAGCTCTGGACACATAGGAATATCAGGGCAGGGCAGTGTAGGGCCCTTGCTCTGGAGTAAGAGGATAAGGAATACATAGGGACTATAGTATCTCTACTTTCTTTATGCCCTACTTTGTTCAAAAAATGATTTGGAATCTCTTACAAAGAGACACATGATAATATGGGTTGAAAAGAAGTCAAGTGTAAACAAGATGGAGGTATAGGTGGGGTTGGTTAGCTTACTGTGAGCATAGTTTTCTTCCTGGAAGATCTGTCTATAAACTTTCCCA